AATCCATGTTGAACATATCCCATAATTTCTTTATCCAGTCTTTAGTTGATGGGTATTTGGGTTGATTGCATGTCTTTGCTATTGTGAATTGAGCTGCTATAAACATGGAGGTACAGATAGCTCTTACATATGCTGATTTCATTTCCCTTGGGTAGATTCCTAGGAATGGAATGGCTGGGTCGTATGGTAGGTCTAGAGTCAGACCTCTGAAGCATCTCCACACTGTCTTCCATAATGGCTTTACCAGTTTACATTCCCACCAGGTGGATTAGGGAACCTTTTTCCCCACATCCTTGCCAATGTTTGTTGTTTGTTGATTTCTGTATGAAAGCTATTCTAAAAAGGGTGAATTGAAATTTCAGTGTGGGTTTGATCTGCATTTCTGAGATGGCAAGCAATCTTGAACAATTTTTCATGTGTCTATTGGCCATTTGGATCTCCTCTTTTGAAAAATGTCTGTTTATGTCCTTTGACCATTTCTTTTCTTTTTTTTTCATGTTTAATCCCAGTGAGAGTCAAGTTGGGAATTGGTAATTTCTTCTTCTTTTTTTTTTTTTTTTTACAGAAGATCAGTTTAGTATGCATTAAGTAAAGATTTCAACAGTTTTTACCCCCATAGAAACACAAAGTGAAATATACTGTTTGAGTACTCGTTATAGCATTAAGTCTCAATGTACAGCACATTAAGGACAGAGATCCTACATGAGGAGTAAGTGCACAGTGACTCCTGTTGTTGACTTTACAAATTGACATTCCTGTTTATGGCATCAGTAATCTCCCTATGCTCCAGTCATGAGTTTCCAAGGCTATGGAAGCCCCTTGAGTTCTCCAACTCTTATCTTGTTTAGACAAGGTCATAGTCAAAGTGGAGGTTCTCTCCTCCCTTCAGAGAAAGGTACCTCCTTCTTTGAAGACCTGTTCTTTCCACTGGGATCTCACTCACAGAGATCTTTCATTTAGGGTGTTTTTTTTTTTCTTTTTTGCCAGAGTGTCTTGGCTTTCCATGCCTGAAATACTCTGATGGGCTTTTCAGGCAGATTGGAATGCCTTTAGGGCTGATTCTGAGGCCAGAGTGCTATTTAGGACATCTGCCATTCTATGAGTCTGCTGAGTATCTCGCTTCCCATGTTGGATCACTCTCCCCTTTATTTATTCTATCGGTTAGTATTAGCAGGTACTAGACTTGACCATTTCTTAACCAGATTATTTTGTTGTTGTTGAGTTTCTTGATCTCTTTGAATATTCTGGTTATTAATGCTTTATCAGTTATACCATTGAAAAGATTTTCTCCCCCCCCAAAAAAAAATGGCCCAAGTGCTTGGGCCCTGCACCCCATGGGAGACCAGGAGATGCACCTGGCTCCTGCTTTTGGATCAGCGCGGTGCACCGGCAGCAGCTCGCTGGCCGTGGCGGCCATTGGAGGGTGAACCAATGGCAAAGGAAGACCTTTCTCTCCATCTCTCTCTCTCACTGTCCACTCTGCCTGTCAAAAAAAAAAAAAGAAAAAGAAAAAAGAAAAGATTTTCTCCCATTCTGTCTGTTGTCTCTTCACCTTGCTGATTGTTTTTTTTTTTTTTCGTAGCACAGAAGCTTCTCAATTTGATGTAATCCCACTTGTGAATTTTGTCTTTGATTGGCTGTATCTCTGGGGTCTTTTCCAAGACTTCTCTGTTTATGCTTATGTCTTGTAGGGTTTCCCCAATGTTCTCTAATAATTTGATAGTGTTGAGTCATAGATTTAGGTCTTTAATCAATTTTGAATGGATTTTGATGAAAGATGTCAAGTAAATGTCTTATTTCATGCTTCTGCATGTGGAAATCCAGTTTTCCCAGCAGCATTTGTTGAAGAGACTGTCCTTACTTTAGGAGTTGATTTTAGCTCCTTTGTCAAAGATAAGTTGGTTGTAGATGCTTGGATTGATTTCAGGTGTTTTTATTCTGTTCCATTAGTCTAATCCATCTATTTGTACCAGGCTGTTATGATAATAACTGCCCAGAATTATGTTTTAAAATTTGGTATTGTGATCCCTCTAGCTTTGTTTTTGCTGTATAAGATTGCTTTAGCTATTCAAGGTCTCCCGTGTTTATATATGAATTTCAGCATCATTTTTCTATATCTGAGAAGAATGCCTTTGGTATTTTGATTGGTATCACATTTAATCTTTAAATTGGTTTTGGAAGAATGGACATTTTGATGATATTGATTTTTCAAATCCATGAGCATAGAAGATTTTTTCAATTTTTTATCTTCTTCTCTTTCTTTAATGTTTTGTAATTATCATTGAAGAGATATTTGACATCCTTGGTTAAGTTTATTCTATGGTATTTTGGTTTTTTTGTACCTATTGTGAATGGAATTGATCTTATAAGCTCTTTTTCAGCTGTGGCATTGTCTATGTATAGAAAGGCTGTTGATTTTTGTGTGTTGATCTTAAATACTGCTACATTTCCAAACTCTTCTATGAGTTCCAATAGTCTCTTAGTGGGGTCTTTTGGATCCCCTATGTGTAGATCATGTCATCTGCATCTAGGAATAGTTTCACTTCCTCATTCCCAATTTGTATCCCTTTTATTTCTTTTTCTTGTCTACTGGCCATGGCTAGAATTTCCAGAAATATATTGAAAAGCAGTGGTGGGAGTGGGCACACTTGTCTGGGTCCAGATCTCAGTGGGATTGCTTCCAACTGTTCAATAGGACACGGGCTGTGGGTTTGTCACAAATTGCCTTGATTGTGCTGAGAAATGTTCCTTCTATTCCCAGTTTGCTTGAAGATTTCATCATGAAGGCATGTTGTATTTTGTCTAATGCTTTCTCTGCATCTATTGAGATAATCATATGGTTTTTGTTCTTCAATTTGTTAATGTGATGTATCATGTTGATTGATTTGCGAATGTTGAACCATCCCTACATACCAGGGATAAATACCCCTTGATTTAGGTGATTGATCTTTCTGATGTGTTGTTGGATTCTATTTGCTTGTATTTTGTTGAGGATTTTTGCATCTATGTTCATCAGAGAGATTGGTCTGTAGTTCTCTTTCTCTGTTGTGTCTTTTTCAGGTTTGGGAATTAAGGTGATACTGGCTTCATAGAAAGAATTTTGCAGCATTTCCTCCTTTTCCATTTGTTATGAAAAGCTTGAGAAGAATTAGAACTTGTTCTTCTTTAAATGTTTGGCAGAACACAGTGGTGAAGCCATTCAATCTTGGGTTTTTCTTTGTTGGGAGGGTCCTCATTACTGATTCGAGTTTTGTCTCAGTTATTGGTCTGTTTAGGCTTTCTTTGTCTTCATGGCTCACATAGGTCATATGTGCCCAGGAACCTATCCATTTGTTTTAGGTTTCCCGTTTTGGCATCCAGTTCTTTGTAGTAATTTCTGATGATCTTTTTATTTCTGTGGTGTCTATTGCTACATTTCCTTTTTCATCTCTGATTTTGCTAATTTGGGTCTTCTCCCTACTTTTTTTGGTTAGTTGAGCCAATGGTGTCTCAATTTTATTTATTTATTTTTTTGAAAAACCAGTCTTGATTTTACTGATCTTTATATTATTTTATTGATTTCGATTTTGTTGATTTCTTTTCTAATTTTAATTATTTCTGTTCTCCCACTTGTTTTGGGTTTGGTTTCCTGTATGTTTCTAGGTACTTGAGATGCAATGGTACATTGTTTATTTGGTGCCTTTCCAATTTATTGATGTAAGCTCCAATTGCTATAAACTATACTCTTAACACTGCTTTTGCTGTATCCCATAAATTTTGAATTGTTGTGTTGTCACTTCCACTTATTTCCAGAAATTTTTTTGATTTCTTTTTTGATTTCCTCTATGACTTCTATGTACTTCATTCAGGAGAGGGAGGGAAGGGCAGCCTCCCTAATTGTTCATTTATTTTTTCCCCACATGAAACTTCAAAAGCAGTTCTCCAAGCTCTCCCTCCCACTGCTATCCATAGCTCCATAAGCATGCGGTTTTCCCCATCACCTGGTCTACCACACCAGTGCTGTCCTCACCAGGATTGAACCTCCATTGTTTTTTTTTTTTTTTAATTTGCTCTTTTGGCATGGACCTGGACCATCTCTGTTGTTCTTTCTGGGTTTCCCACTGCAAAGTCCCCATGGCTTTATGTCAGGCATGTAGTTCCTATCCTTCTGTGAATTATTAATTTTGTCCCATGTGATTCAGACCATCCTGTCACTATTCCACCATCTTGGAACCCCCAAAGCTTAAGCTTTTGTAAGATACATATTTATCCCATATTTTAGCATCTCTGAAATTGAGATCTATATTTTAATTAATGGCATGCCACAATTTGATTGACAGCATTTTTTTCTTTTTGCAATCAATGGGATCTTAGAATCAATTGAAGAGGGGATTAGATTCCTCAGTATGCTTAATCCTATTTCAGAAGGAACACTAAAATAAATCAAACAAATGGGACATAACAGAGACATCAATCTCACCAGTATTCAGTCAAGAAGGGAAGGAATAAATATAGAATAACAGAGAGATTAAATCAATGAAGATCACATAGAACCACAGAGAAAGATCTGTAAAAGTGAGCAAATTTAGAAAAAGAGCAGGAAAGAAGAATAGAGAGATGGAATGCAAAAAGAAGAAGAGAAAGTGAAGCATCAAGGTGGAAAATATAACCGACAAGTCTACTGCTATAATCATTATTTCCTAGGTGTGTGTGTCCTGTGGCAGACATTGAACTTTCTGTCTGTTTTCATTACATACATTGGTCAGTAGGGGTCTTAGAGCATGCAGTGTGGCAGGTGTTCTCAGTACCTTCCAGAAAATATTTTCTCTTCTGTGCCATATATAGGTAGACCCACAGGAGTGGCCCCATCCCAATCACAAACACACACACACACACACACACACACACTCCCTAAACATTCCTATCTTTCCACTGCCTCTGACATGTTGATATTTCATTCAAAAAGAAAAAACACTGTAAATGTCTTAAATGAAGGCTAACACTTCTGTTTGTTCTTTCAGGTGATAACAAGATTATCGAACAAATCTACAGTCCCACAGGTATGGCTTGTGCTAAAGAACAAAATTGTACCTACATTTTGAAGAATTTCTAATAAATCTGTCTTCCCCTTCAGGATTTTGTGTATTTATATTCTACTTCCTCTAACTGGTTTCCTAATGAGAGATGTGATGACTGACTTTCTTGAGTTGGAGTATAATGTAATATTGAAATGCATCTCTCTGTATTAAGTGTAAAGTATTTGTCACTAAAGTGTGCCAAAAGTAGCAAAGTCCTAAAGTATTGATCTTAGAAGTGTTTTTGCTTGGTCTGAAAATTGTTAGGCACATTTTTTATGTATGCATACAATTTCTTGCAAGTATCTATAACATTTAAAATATGGTTCAGAGATATCCAGGAAAGAGCTTCGCTTCTTCTAAAATAATCTCAACTTTTAAGGAACTTCTGATTTCATTGAAAACTTTCTCAAAGAAACACAGCTTTCTCAAATTTATTAGCTAGACCTTTCTTACTAGTAATCCAGCAACAGGAATCTTGTCAACAGCTTCTTTCCTTGCTTTGTACTTCTTTTAAAGTAGACAACACACATACTCAGAGTGGCAAAAACATACCCAAGTATACACATGCATGAGCACTTAGAAACTCAGGCACACCTACAGGCACACAAATAGACCCAACTATGTCATATATTACAAAAAAAATGATGATTTACTGAAAATGGTAAGGAGGGCAAATAGGGTTTACTTTTAATACTCTACGGAGAAACTTCTTAAACGGCTTTTAAAGTACCTGAGTGCTTCAAGCAAGTTTTTCTTTGGCCTTATTTGTCTTCTCATCTCTACAAAGTGCCACCTCAGTAATCAGCAAAATAGTCTTAATGTTTTGACTCTTTTCACTAGATAACCTTTCCTCACTGCAGCATTGCTTTTTTCCCAAACTTTCCTTGGCTCCATGACTTGTGGAGAACATTCTTACCTATTTTTTTTATTTTACAATTTGAAATTTTTACCCATTGAAAGAACTCTGTGGAGGAAGATACATACCAAGAATAAAACATCTTTTACTTTCAACAGAAAAATCCTTCTATAGAATGTAGGCTGAAGCTCATTGGCAATGTTAAAAAAAAAAAAAAACAAATGACAGAATTTTCAAGACAAAGATATTTCTTTCTTTCTCATGGAACAGTCCAGAGATGGAAAATTTGACTACTTTAGTGAATCAATATAGTCCCAGGATTTCTTCCTTTTGCTTCATCATCTTCAGCATATGGCTACATTCATCAAGATCTCCTCATTATCTAAGGTACCTGCTGAACATCCATCTCTTGCATCCAAATTTCAGAAACCAGAGAAATGTAAGAGTTGGATAAAAGCTTTTCAGTTTCTAAAAGCCTTCCTAAAAGTTTATTAAAGCTTGTGCATATAGAAGCCATGATCCCAGAACTTTGCTTCACATCCAGAAGCTGAGAAAAGTGCTCATCGGACAAGGGGCATTACTAAGAGTTCTGTTAACTAAGAAAGAGAGGTTGCATAAAATAGAGGTCACCCATACTCTCTGATATATCTTCCTTGATAGAAATGTTATTCCCATTGTTCTATGATCATCATCATAATTGCTTTGGCAAACATTTATTGAACTCTTTACACATTGTAAATGCTTAATTTCCATTGTCTAACATCTAATGTTTTCCTTACACCATCCCTAATTTACAGGTGAGATAACCAAGACATTTAATATCTACAGTACTTGCTGGAGTTCACAACTGTTCAGCCACACAACTATAAGAACTCTGTAACTAAGAGTCCATGCATTCAACTGCTGAACTCTTCTGCTTCCCCCTTAGTAAAGAGAGAGATCCAACTGGATCTAGTCATTTGTGAGCTTGAAGTAATTATCCCAACAAAATGCCATGGACTGCATTTGAGATTTCTTTTAAAATGGATATAAAACTTCATTGCCTGTATGAAAATGTTTTCCAGGAAGACAGTGAAGGGATAGGTCACATGAGGTGGGAGAAAGCTATGGCTGAGCCCTGTGACAGTGTATAACAGGTGAATCTAGCTACCCAAGTGAGGCAGGGTTTCCTACACAGAGAAAACAGGAGAATATAACTGGTCCTCTTGCATAGTTGCCAATACTGGGCTAGGTGCTTAGTTATATAAAAAATAGGTCCCTTCTGCAAGAGGTTAGGTGAGATCACTCATTCTTTTTGGAAGTAATGACTGTTCCCTTGATTGCAAAAGTCAGTATCCAAGCAACTAATTGAAGGCACCAGATCACCATGACAGAATGGAAGTAGGACATTTAAACGAATCTGAAGAACTATAAATGCTTGGTAGACTATTAGTCTGGAGATTATTAAAGCCAACAGAGCTTTCCTGAAACAAAGGAATGGTTAAATTGGCAATGCAAATACAAAAGGAGTCTAATTAGAGAATGTGCTCATTGTTTCTCATTTCTTTGATAAGTTTGCCCTGCTACGTCTTTAGCTATTTAAGCTAATTTTTCTATACCATAATGCTAATATACAAATGTTCCCTTAAAATTCCAGCAGTTCTGATTTTATTAAAAGGACAATCCATTAAATACTTTGAAAAACAAAAGGCAAACAAATAAAAGCAGCATCATGAGTATCTCAAAAAAGAATTTTCGGCTTCACTGTTAACAAAACTAAGGACACCTGCTTGGAAAGATGAGGCTAGGGATGCCATTTACTTGGGAAATTTTGAGCCATTAACATTAGAATAGAATTGGTAGCTATGGTCACCGCAGTTCTTTTTCACCTCTATCATTACAACTGTTATAGATATAGCAAGATCTATATCTACCCATGAATCAACTCTTGAAGTTATAATCATGTAAATCATGAGTTTTAAATAGTAACCCAGAGATTTTTACCTGATATCTTATTTTTATTATAAATTATTCGTGAGCCAGTAAAATTGATTGTATCTTCAAAAGAAAGTGATACACAGAAAAATGAATCAAGTTCTTTTGGAAAAGTTTAAAATGTGTCTATGGCAAAACAGTAAGCATGCTGTGATAATGACTCTATTGAGGGCATTACCTTAGCTTTTGCTGCCTTTTCTGCTCTTTCCTTGCAACATCACCTCTTCAAAGCAAGATCAGGTGGTTTGCACTATTTCTTGCTTGCGACTGGTGAGAGCAAACAGAGTAGAAAGCAGGGAGGCTGAGATACTTCCAGTCTTCTTTCATCCATGTGATCCAAGATAGGAAATAATTTTTCTCAAGGATAATACAATTTCAATGGCTGATATCCATTTAAAAATGCATTTGATACACACTAAGAATAAAAACAAGGACCAAGACTCTCCATTAAAATGTAAAAGGTTTTTATTCCCAGGAGCATGCTGTTGTACACTATTAAAAATAATAGGTTGATTAAAATCTAGATGCAAATATGGTAAAAAATTCACCTTTCACACAGCTCTACATCAAGAGAATTTAAAACACCAAAGTGAGACTAAAATTAAAAAAGCAGAGAGGAGAAACCTGGAAAAGGACAAAAGTGAGGAGACTTTCTTTTTTTTATTTGACAGAGTTAGAGACAGTGAGAGAGAGAGAGAGAGAAAGGTCTTCCTTCCGTTTCCATTGGATCACTCCCCAAATGGCCACTATGGCTGGTGCTGCGCCGATCTAAAGCCGGGAGCCAGGTGCTTCCTCCTGGTCTCCCATGCAGGTGCAGGGGTCCAAGCACTTGGGCCATCCTCCACTGCCTTCCCGGGGCCACAGCAGAGAGCTGGACTGGAAGAGGAGCAACTGGGACTAGAACCCGGCGCCCATATGGGATGCCGGTGCCTCAGGCAGAGGATTAACCAATTGAGCTATGGTGCCTGCCCCAGGAGACTTTCAATACCTGAAAAAATAATAACGAAAACTGAAAAACCTCAGTTTTAATGAGAGGTGAATTTCTTTTTTTTTTTTTCATTTTCAATTCTCTTTATATACAGAAGATCAGTTTAGCATACATTAAGTAAAGGTTTCAACAGTTTGCTCCCACACAGAAACATAAAGTGAAAAATACTGTTTGAGTACTAGTTATAGCATTAAATCTCAATGTACAGCACACTAAGGACAGAGATCCTACATGAGGAGTAAGTGTACAGTGACTCCTGTTGTTGACTTAACAAATTGACACTCTTGTTTATGGCATCAGTAATCTAAAGGATTTGGTTTTGTTCATATAAAGAACTCCAGCATGAATGATGTATCTATTAAGAGATCTTTGTATCTGTACTAATCTATATTATCCACTGATTTAGTCAGAGCCCAAGGGAAATGGTAGCATCAAGAAGAGACTCCCATCCATTGTAGAAGATGAGGAGGAGGAAGAGGACGGGGAGGAAGAAGAGACAGCGTCCCTCTCTCCCATCTATACAAGGGGATCCTCCTCTTCTCGCAGCAAGAAGATTGGGAGCAACAAAAGTTACCTAGGACTAAGCTTAAAGCAGCTGGCCTCAGGAACAGTGCCATTTCACTCACCTATCAGAGTCTCCAGTTCAAATTCCCCCAAAGCCAAGCAAGAGACTGATCCTCCTAATCATGGTAAAAGAAAAGAGAAGAACTTGAAATTGCAGCTTTCAACCCTGAATAGTGTTGGGCCCCCAGACCTCAGTCCAAGGTAAGAGTTCACATCATGTAATCTTTCTCTTGGTAAAATGCTACTGTTTATACAGACTGGTACCTGTCTATTAAATTATCAAACCTGGGAATTTCCACGACAAAGGTGCCAAGCCTGAATTCTGCACACAGTAGGTTAGATCCTATTTACCAAGAAAAGAAAACTAGTTAAACTCCTGATACTTATTTTAATACCATTATTTAACTCTTACATTCAGCCTTTTGACCAAGACTAGAGTGGAAGTGTCATTAAATTTATTTTCTTTGATGCTGTGACCATTAGGTTAAAACATTTTCTCCTGGGTAGAGCATTGTTTTTAACCTGAATTTAGGTTAAAGGACTTCTATCTATTAAAGATTTAATCTAAGAATAAATGAGTCTACACTCTACAGTAATGCTGTCCAATAGATGTATAATGTAAGGTAAAATTGGGAGCCACATATGTAATTAAAACTTTAAAAAGTTAAAAGAGTTTTAATAACGCATTTAATTTAATACAAAGTATCTTTATTATAATTTTAAATGTGAACAATATAAAGTAATTAATGCAATAATTTGCATGACTTTTTAAATGTTAAAAAACTTATGCATATTTATTTTTGTAGCACAGAGGAATTTGAACTAACCACGTTCCACATTGCTGGTATTCAGTTCCAGGCTACATAAGTCTCATGGCTGCCATAGTGCAGATAACTGCTCTAGACTCTCTAGATATTTAGCACAATGTTTTCTAAGTCTTCTAGATTTACAAGAACCCATAAATATAAATGCACAACCAACCAATTCCCTTTATTATATATAGAATTGTTGATGGGATTGAAGATGGAAACAGCAGTGAAGAAAGTCAGACTTTTGACTTTGGCTCTGAACGTATCAAACCAGAGCTCAGAATTTCTCCTCCAATTGGAGGTAAGTTCTATTTTCAATCTTCTCTCAATTGACAATATTTGCTGTCAACTTGTAATATATGGCATTGGCATTTCATTGTTGCCTTTCTGTTCTTAGAATATTCTCCCTGTGATAGAAGTTTACCAATGCTATTGAACAATGGATGTGAGTCTGTGCCATCTCAAAGTTATTAAGAATTGTTTGTAATTGTTCTTCCGTCCAAGTTAAATGACCTGTTTATCAGCTAAGGTAAATGGTGTTAGAAGATGCGAATTACTACTGGTCATTAGAGAGTAGCCATGTTCTCCTGGTGTACATTCAGGGAGTTTATCTTGAGGAAATGCCATGCTGGTTGTGTACTATAAGAATGTTGCCTGTGGGACCAGCATTGTGGTGTAGCAGTGAAAGGAGCCGCCTGCTATGCCAGCATCTTATCCCTACTAATGACCTGTGAAAGCAGCAGAAGAGGGCCAAAGTATTTGGGGCCCTGCCACAAGCATGCAAGATCTGGAAGAAGCCCCTGGCTTCTGGCTTCAGCCTGGCCCAGCCCTGACCATTGTGGCCACCTGGGAAGTGAATCAGCAGATGGAAGATCTTTCTCCTTCTTTCTCTATAACTCTGACATTCAAATAAATAAATAAATCTTTATTTAAAAAAATCTTGTTGGTTATATTTAATAATTATTTAGTGAGAGGCTAGGTTATTACAATATGTCAGGAGTTAATTTCAGAAGGATAAAGCATGTTGGAAATAATGAGGACCATATGAAGTGCTAGCTTCTACTGATGGAGATTAGTATAAAAGTACCACCAAATCCAGCCTAGACCTCTCTTCTTTTCAGTCATGAATTAACTGCCCATTAAAAGGAGTCTAGTAACATGATGAAAGCCATACATGACAAACTCTAAAAAAGACATGCACATATTTGATGAAGACAAAAATGAGAAGTACTAAACAGGCATAGGAAATCCAAAGTAATTGTCAGAGGCAAGGCTAGTAACCCTCTGCTAACCCTTTCCTTCCTTCCCACCAAGACCAGAGATCCTTGGATCAGGATTTACTGCTAATTAGCCTATCTCTTTGGAAAAAGCTAAACCCAAGAAAGATATTTGCATGTATAGTTCTGCAGGTGTGTTGCAGTCTGGGATACTACCAGTATTTCATCTCAGTCAGCATTTCTTCCTGACATTGATCACCTTCTGGGGAATTGCAGGGTCTTCATAAGACTTCTTGGTGGTGTGTGTGGGGTGAGGAGAGTACAAGAAGTTCAATCTTGACTCGTTAATTCAACTGACTTACATATGTTGTTGTTACTCTGCTTAAGGCAATGTCCAAAGAAATCAAATTACAATACATTGGTTTATTAGCCACGAAAGCTTTCATAAGTGTCAATTGGAAGTTTTCTTTTTTGGCTCACCTGGAGAAAATTCAGAGAATTTCACCAGGTCTATCCACGTTTTTTTGGTCTCACCACCCACTTAGCTTCCTCCTTTCCTTTTCTGTGTCATCTACCCCTCCACTATCTATCCAAGCAACAAATTTGCCACATAACACCAGCTAAGCCTCTCTCAGGCTTTTTAGTCTCACTGATATAATTTTTTCCTGGCCATATCTCATGCCTGTATTACTATTAAGGTCTCTTCTCTGGTTTCACTATTTTCTGTATGGAGTGAACTTTTTAAAACCGCAAATTTATTTGTATTTCTTTACTTTCATGCTTTAAAATCCTGAACTGACTTATTAATTATTGCAAGTTACTTTTTAAATGTCTTATTTCATGCTATATGCTCCAATATTATTATTCAATGGTGTCTAAAAGATTTATTCACTTATTTTGAAAGAGTTACAGAGAGACAGACAGACACACACACACACACACAAATACACACACACACACACACTGGGCGGGGAGAGATATCTTCCATCTGCTGGTTCACTCTACAAATGGCTGCAATGATCAGCACTGGGTGGGGTTGAAGCCAGGACCCAGGAGCTTCATCCATCTCCCACATGGGTTTCAGGGACCAAAGCACTTGTGTTATCTTCTGCTGCTTTCCCTGGCTGTTAGCAGGGAGATGGATCAAAAGTGGAGCAGCCAGGACATGAACTGATGCCCTTGGGGGGATGACAGGATGGCAGACATTGGCTTAACCCACTATACCCCAAGATGAATGGATTTCCACTGAAAAATATCACTGCAAAATGCGATTTGGGACTCTGCGTTGGGCCAGTTTGAGTAACTTTTCTTCCTTCAGAAATAAATTTTTTATTCATAATTTATCAAAATTAGGATGTTCATATGATAAGAGATATAGATCTTAATATAGATATAGCTGTATTCTGCCAAATATTTTCCACTACAGCTAGCACTGACTCATCTGTACATTTTGTCTCTGACAGAAATAAATATGTCTAGAAGAGTAATGCCAAAAAAAAGGTAGAAAAGAGGGAAATGGGAGAAATTACCTTTTAGAATGACATAGGAAGAGACAGGAAACACACAGTAAAGGTTAATACCAGAAAAGGTGGAAGAAAGATGTTCTCACGGACACATGAATCAATAATTAGAAAGGGAAGAAAGGGAGACAAGAAAATTTATCTTGGGCACTGACTGTGGTGCATTTTTAGAGAATAGGCAAGGAAGAGAAAATGTGCCATTCAGGAGCATCATGGCGATTGTGTTCAGGGGAACTGAAGATTTGGTATGGACATATCCAATCACTGTGGTCACAGTCACCATCATGATGTGTGCTTAGTGCACTGGGCACCATCCAGAGAAGTGCAAGAAACTTGTCCGGTCCCAAGAAGATACAACCTACAGGGCACAGACATCAGAGAAGGTTAAAGGCAACAGTTTGCTCTCTCTTTCACATTCCAGGTGCCCCAGTTTTTAAATATGTAGTTTATTCCTAAAGTACTTATTCTTTATGTATGTCTCTTTTCAGACCCAGAGATTGGAGCTGCTGTTCTCTTCATCAAAGCAGAGGAGACCAAGCAGCAAATAAACAAACTCAACAGTGAGGTATGGAACTTTCTTTGGTCATGCTGGAGTGGTAAGATTATAATTCTAGCTACAAGCATCAGTACAATACAGTAATTACATGCATGTACTGCATTGTCAAACCACCAGGAATGAATCCCTCTTCTGCCTTGTATAAGTTAATGCAAGCTTTCACTCATGGTCTCTCAAACTCCATTTCTTCAAATGTAAGAAACAGACAATAGGGAGAGGTGCACTGGTTAATCCAGTGCTTGAGACACCCACATCCCATGACATAACCTGGCTGGTTCAAGCCCCAACACAGCTTCCAATACAGCCTCTTGCGAATGCACCTTGGAGGCAGTGGGTGATGGCCAAAGTACTAATGTTCCTACCACCCAGGTGCTCCACCCAGATGGAGTTTCTGGCTCTTGTCTTCAGCCTAGCCTAGCCCCAACTGTTGTAGGCATTTGGGGAGTGAACCAATGGATGGAAGATGCATCTGTGTCTTTGACTGTATCTTCCTTTCCCTGACCCTCTCTTTCTGTCACTCTGCCTTTCAAATGAACAAAAAAAGAATCTCTAAACATATATGTATATATTAATAAAAGAAAGGGACAGTACGGCTTACCTTAGGGTCCATTGTGAAATTAAATGAGATAACCTAGGTAAATCCTTTAGTGTAAAATACTCATTAAATAAATGATAAGTGTTATAATTACTGTTATAAATTGATTGTTATTTGGTTTGATTGGCATTCTTTTTTTCAGCTTTTTTTTATGTCCTCCAGTTTTTAATGAGTTCATTAAAAGATCAATAGTCCATAGAAGAATGCTGTTTCTCAGAGTAATCAAATGGCCTGAGCTATTTTATTGCAGTAAATCTACATGTCATAAAATTCCTCCGTTTTAAGTGTATAATATCAAGATTTAGTAATTTTATTGAGTTAGACAATCATCACCATAAATAGATTTTAGAATATATTTTATCCTCAATGTACTCCTTATTCCTATGTATAGCCCTAGGAAACTGATATTCTACTTTCCATAAATGGGTCTTTTGGGGCCAATACATATAAATAGAGAAATAAAGTAATTTTTGAATTACTACCTTAATTTGGGTACCCCCACCCACCGAAAGGTAAAGCAGATTCTGAGAAATTTTGAATGCAAACACTAGTTTATTTGGGAGGTTATGTAGAATGCAAAATAAATAGCAAAGAACATAAAAATAAGAACGTGTTAATAAGATAATGAAATCTGTGAACAACTAGGTCTCCATCCTGCTGTGGACCTGGCTAGGACAATTGATCAACCAGAAGCATCAATCTCAATGTAGAGTCACAAGTAATATGAAGAAAACAAGATATCCTGATACTCCTAAAAGAGCACAATAACTTTCTGAACACAGATCCCAAAGAAAAACATATTGACAAAATATATCAAAGAGAATTTAAAACAAGCACCAATGATTATAGGTATTCTGAAAGAGATAAAAAAGAATACATACATATGGTTAAATGAAATCAGGAAAACCATGTGTGATATGAGTACGAAATTCATCTAGAAGATTAAAAGCCTATAGAACCAAGTAGAAATCCTGGAAATGGATCCTAGAAATGGATAACTCACTAAGTTAAATAAAAAATACAGTCGAAATATTTAACAATAGACTGGATCAAGTAGATTAAAGAATACCCACAATTGAAGTCAAGTATTTTCAGTTAAAAAAATCAGTTTAAGTGAGTGAATACAGCCTCTGGGGCCTTCAGGATACCATTCAAATAAATAAATTTTAAATTGTGAGAATACCTGAGAGAAAGGAAAGAAACAATGACCTAGAATCCTCTTCAATGAAATAAGAGTTGAAAACTTTCCTTATCTGGAAAAAGATACAGACATAGACAAAAATATGGACCCATAGAATCTCAACTAGACATGACCACAATGGATCTTCAGAATGACACATTACGGTTAAACCCTCAAAATACAACACAAAGAGAGAGTTTGAAATACTGCAAGTGAAAACTGCCAAGTCAACTTTAAGGAAAACTCTATTAAAATAATGGCATACATGTCAACAGAAACCTTACAGGCCAGGAAATAGCAAGAAATGAAAGAAATGGCAATTCAGAATATTTTGTCCAGGTCAACTATCTTTCATAAATAAAGGAGAAACAAAGACACTTGAAGAAAAGTAAAAACTAAAGGGATTCATAACCAACATATTCGCTTTACCAAAGATGCTTATGGGAGTCCTACAGAGAAAAGAAAAATAACTATCATGAAAACATAAGAAATTATAAAACTCACTGGAAAAAGAACAAAGAATATTCAAAATAAAAAATGTTGAAGTTACAAGTCTCAGTCATTAGTTATCAGTAATAACCTTGAATGTAAATGGACTAAATTCCAATTACAACATACACACTGTCAAAATGGACTAAAAACATGACCCAAAAATATGCTGCCTACAAGACATTCACAGACTGAGAGTGAAAATACTGAAAAATATATCTCATGCTAATAGAAACCTAAAGTAAGCAGATGTAGCTTTATTTTTGGCAGATAAACTTTAAGAAAAAAAAACTGTAAAAAAAAAGAAAGACATTGTATGATGATCAAGAAGTCAATTCAGCAAGAAGATGTAACAACAGTAAGTATATATGCTGGAGCACCCAATTCTGTAAAACAAGCTTTATTGTATCTAAATAGAAAGATAAACTCTAATACAGTCATAGTGGGAATCTTGGACAGAGACACGGGACACCAAAGCTCTTAACAGAAAAATTGATTTTATTGTTGCCAGCAGACCCAAAGTAGAGTTTTGTCTCCCAATTCTGGGCTCTGAACAAAGCGGGGCATTATCTAATTCATATTCAGATACATGGCTTTTGATTGGATATCCATTGCTGCATCTGTACTTAGAAAACCATCACACAGTCACACCTGCATGCCCCTGAATGGCTGCTGCTGACCTGGTTGCCTGGTGGCATTTCTCAGACCTGTTTCCGGAAACACCCCTGTTTCCTGAAAGCCCCTGCTTGAAAGCCTCTACCATTTTTTGCCTTTAGCCTTTTTATTCTTCCTCGAGGGAAGGGATCCCTGCTGCACAGTAACAGGGGGAACCGCAAACTCTCACGTTCATCAATGGACAGATCATTCAAACAAAAAATTAAAGAAACATCAGAGTAAACTTAACTATAGATCTAATGAACCAAACAGACACTTAGAGAACATTGCATCTCAGCAGCTGCAGAATCCTCATTCTCTACCTCTGTACATGCAACGTTTTCTAGGAAAGACCATATATTAGGCCACATACAAATCAACAATGTCAAAACATCAAAATCATTTCTTTTCTGACACAACAGAATAAAAACTATAAGTAAACAACACAGGAAACACTAAAAATTGTACAAACACGTGAAAATTCATTGATGAAAATGGAAAGGAAAGTAAAAGATTCATTGAGCCCAATCCAGCTTCCTGTTAATGTGCATGGAAGGCAGCAGATGATGGCCCTGCCACCTATTAGGGAGACTTGGATAGAGTTCCTGGCTCTTGCTTAGGATTGTTCTAGCCCTAGCTATTGCAGGCATTTAGGGAGTGAACCAGCAAATGAAAGATCTCTCCCTGCCCTTCCCCTCTCCATCTCTCTCTCTGTTTCTCTCTATATATTTATTACATATATAATTTCTCTCACTCTAACTCTACCTTTCAAATAAATGAATCTTTTTAAAAGCATCAGTGAAACTAATGAAAAATGAAGCACACATAGCAAAAGCAGTACTGAGAGAGAGGAGTATAGGGGCTGGCATTGTGGCATAGTGGGTAAAGCTGCCTCTGAAACCCCTACATCCCATATGGATGTCGGTTTGAGTCCTGGCTGCTCTACTTCTCACCCAGCTCCCTGATAATGGCCTGGAAAAAGCAGAGAAGATGGCTTAAGTGCTTGGGTGACTGCCACCCATGTGGGAGACCTGGAAGAAGCTCTTGACTCCTAGCATCAGCCTGGCCATCCCCGGGCCATTGCGGCCATCTGGGAATTGAAACCATGGATAGATGATTTCTCTCTCTCTCTCTTTCTCTCTGTCTCTCTAATTCTGCCTTTCAAATAAATAAATCCTAAATAAAAGAGGAATGAGTATAGCAATAAGTATATCAATCAAAAAAAAATATCAAATAAATGACTTAATAATGCATCTCAATGACCTAGAAAAACAAGAACTAACCAAACTCAAAGTTAGTAGAATGGAAGAAATAATAAGTATCAGAGAATAAATAAAGTAGGAACTAAGAACACAATATAAGGATCAATGAATTCAAGAGAATTCTTTGAAAGTATAAAAAAATCATTAGACCTTTAGCAAGGCTAATTAAACTTATGATTACAAAATAAATTGAAAGTATATCATTGTAAAAATTAAAAGAAAAATAAGAGAAGGAGGGATTTCGGGAGTGAGGGAAGGAGGGAGGATAGGATGGGAAGTACTATTATGCTCTTAAAACTGAATATATGGAATACATGAAATTCATTCCCTTTATGTGAATTTAAAAAATGAACAAGAGGTAAGACTCAACTAAATAACCTTAGACTTGAAGAAAGAGATATTATAACTGGTGCCATAGAAATATAGTGTATTATTAGGCACTGTTATGAACAATTGTGTGCCATAAAATTGGAAAACTGAGAAGAAATAAATTTATATAAGCATATAAATCTATGAAAATTAAACTATAAAGACATATTAAGCTTGATAAAAATATAAAAGTAAAGAAAACACCAGAAATAGATGGCTTCACTGTTGACTTCTACTCAACTTTTAAGAAAGAATTAGTATCAGCACTTCTCAAAGTATTCCCAAAAAAGGAAAGGGAAAGAATTCTTTCAAACTCACTCTGTAAGACCATCATTACTTTATTCCAGAACCAGACAAGGAAAGTCACTGAAATAAAGAACACCATTGACCAGTACCTCTCATGAACATAAATGCTAAAATTCTCAACCAAGTATTAGCAAATTGAATCCAAAAACAGATC